ATTTTTTATTAAAATCATAAAATTCCTATTTTGTATCTTGTAGCATTAAAACGAAGCGTCGTAAAGAAAAACATTATTAACAAAATATGTTTGTTTTTATGTTCTCTATTTCCCCTCAAAGTTTGTCGGTCTAATTTTTTACACCCTGCATATATATATATATATATATATATATATATATATATAATCATTGTGGAGTCGAGGGAATCGTAGTAAATGCGGCTACGATATCGCAATAATAATCTCATGTGCATACATTGCACTCTTTGATTAGGAAAAGCTAAAAATGTGGTTGGCTGTAGTAAAGATGGGTGATTGTAGTTTAATTAACTAGCCTCTCTCTTTCTTTCAGCGTGATTTCGATCTTTGCTCAATCTGATTCCGATTGGTCAAGTTCTGATCTCCGATCCGCAATCTTCGATCTCCAATACCTAGACTGACACGGGCTTTCACGGACAGATCCTCTGTCACGGTCGTAAAAGTCGGGGATATACTTGGAGAATTCAGTTTTCTTTCTCCGATACCGTCGCGTAGAAGAATTTTGGATTTGCAGAAACTCCTGGGCGCTCGAGTAGCGAGCTGATTACACACATATATAAGGATATTTCGTTCGTGAGAGTCTCAGACGAGTGATAGGGGACTATCGTATGAGTATCATGAGTAATTAAGCGGATGCGGTTTGTTGGACGCATCTTCACAGTGCACGTTTCTTCTCAGAAGGCGAGAGGTCATTGTTCTCGTGTAACGTGCTCTTGTGCGGACGTTGTTGGAGGTCATTCTCATTAGTCGTCGCGAAATATGCTCTCATACGCTCATAATCATCCAAAAGCCACCCGGGACAGTCAAGATGCGCATCAAATTTGACCGTTTATTCCGGCAACAGAAACATACCGTCGACTTCTTTTGGTTTTAGTCAACGGCTCTCTGAAGCTGATCGCGCGCTGTTACGTGCGCCTCAGTTTGGTGCACACGGTGGTAATATAAGAATTTGGAAGGAATAGAAATAGTAACCTCCAAATGTAACTCGACACGTGATTAAACTTTTTATTCGTTCTATGACTATACAGAGAGAGTTACCGCCTGAGGACTGTTCTAAGACGTTGCAATACGAGGGCTGTGTTAAGACTGACTAAGAGAATCGGAGACTCTCCACACGGAATATGAGTAGGGTTGCCAAATCCAAAAGTCTAAATTACCGAACATTTTCTCTTTAATAACAAAATCTAACCGGACAAACCGGACAGTAACATCATATAAAACTAGGTACATGAAATATACAATTTAATAAGAAATTAATTATAATATCGTTTTCCGAACACTATTTAAAACAGACTGGTTGAATAAAATAATACAAAAATTATTATTGTTTATAAAATATATTATTGAAAACAAAATTAAATTTTTTATACATATGAAATTTATGTTTTATATATATGAAATTCGTTGTAAACATTTTGTTAAAATATTTAAAACGTTTAATAACGTATTAAAATAAAAAATTTTAACATTTGTTAAAACATAAAATATATGAAATATAATTTGTGATATAACATTAGTATTACAGTCTAAGTTTATAAAATGGCCATTTTATTAATTAAATTTGTATTTCTCTGTATTTCTTACTGCTTTTAATAGATTTGGTTTAGATTTGGCATACTTTACAAATTCAATACATGACATGTGAAAATTAATAACAGTGAATAATTCAGCTTTGACCAGTTCAACTTTCATTCTATTTCTTGATTTTCTCCATACTTGCTGCATTGAGCTTTTTCGGAAAGCATTACTTGCTTGTATTGAAAGTATAGCCTGAACTATTTTTAGTAAGTTGTTTGTAGTAAAATTACACTTTTTGAAAATAATAATCTATCTATGCTTTTCGCACTGCTTCTCGCAGTGTATGATCGTTAATGGACGTTTGGAATGAAAAAACATCACTGATATCCAAACTCTGTTTATCAATTTTTCTCTTTATGATATACATTGCATTTTATTAGTTGGATGTATTTAAAAACCGGACATATGACGCCGGACCCCGGATAAAACTCTTGAAAAACTGACAGTCCGGGCCAAAACCGGACAGTTGGCAACCCTAAATATGAGTTACATGAGTTATGAAGCCTTTAGGTAGCAATTGGGAAGATATCGGATAGGTATTTGGAAGGAAGATAATGTTCATATTTATTTAGGGAGTCGGGTTTTAAGATTATTTAGGTAGTAAAGGAATTTTTCAGGAATGAACCAGAGTTTACTAAAGCGCTCAGAAATCCGTTGCGGCGCGTAACAGCGCGAGGGTTACCGCAAAGTAGAGAAAATGAATTAGAAGAGGAGGTACTGAAAAGAGAGAGAGAGGCACACACTCATTCGCAATTTTACATCGACAGATTTTCGAACGGTACCGACGATCGGTGCCTGTAAACGAAGCGACCTCGTCGTCGTGCCACGGCCTCATTACGCCGAGCCTCTGTTAGCCATTGGGAAGACCGGCGCGCAGATCGATCACACGCGAAGCTACACGTCGGTCAGCTTGACCCTAAGGCCGCCCTCCTCCGAGCCGCAAGCACCGATCGATATCAGGTCGGAAGGATCAAGTCTGACCTATTCAACCTCGTCCTTGGATCCGCGCGGCTTTCAAAGCCGCTTGCAGATCAGCATCGGCCCTGGGAACGTCGGCAGCGTGGCGGCGGCAAGGATCAGACCACCCATTGTCCCGAATCGGCCTGCCGATCCGGTCAGACCCAACAGTCTAATACCACCGACTCAGACGAGTCCGCAGCGGCCGCCTGGTACGTTTCTCGCTTACAATTCTACCTAAACTCCTAAATTTCTCGCGTGCACGCGCTCTTAGTTCGCAGAATATATTTATCAAGATAGAAACTTTCTTTGAAGAAGAGAGAAAAATGTATAATAAGAAATTAAATATTTGTGTTGAAAGATTTAATATAGGTAGATAATATAGATTAATATAATTTAATAAAGATAGATAAGATAAAGATAGATAAGATTTAAACTTGGGTAAGATTAAGACTTCACTTCGACTTTCAATTATATATTCTTAAATATTCTCAAATTTCTTCCGCTCACACGTTTCAATTGTTTTGGAGAATATATCCAGTAAGTAAGGAACATTAAATTAACGTTTAGAAACGTTGACTTCGTGTGGATTGTTTGGACATTTTTTAATAATATTACATTTAATTATATAATTATATAATATTAATTATATAATATTAATTTAATTATATAATATTAATAATATTACATTTATATTTTTTGATATACATGTTATTTTGTGATATGATTTTTCTGAATGTTGTTTAAACGTTTTAAAAACATTACAAAAAATATATTTTTCAAATGTTACTTTAACATTTATTTGAGATCAATGCAACATCTTAAAAATATTTCTACCGATTAAAACATTATGGCAATCCTATTTCAATATTATTGAAACTTCCAAATCGCGGTCAAAATATGTTCATAATGATGTTTGATACAATATTAAACATTACATACTTGACAATATTACAGGTTCTTCAATGTCATTGTAGCAACGTTACATTAATGATTTTTTGCTTACTGGGTATTCATCTATAGATAGAGATGTACATTTTTCAGAGAAGAAATATATGATATTTATAGGGGCTTATAACTAAACTCAACTAAATGCGTGTTGGAACAGTATTTAGACTTAGATAAGATTAAACTCCCCACTCGAAGTGGAGGACACTACATTGTACGCACGTGTCGCTTTTAGGATTGCCACCAGGACCCCCGAGCCAGCTGCCGAGGCCCACGACGACGATGAGCGCGCCGACTACGCCCTCCACGCCGTCGACAACGAATATCGTCCAGACCTGCAGTCTCCCAACGACGCCTTCCGGAGCCGCGATGAGCGGCGCCTCCTCCGTGCAGCAGCAGCCTCCCTCCAGCTCCGCGGAGAAGCACACGCAGACCGCCTCCGATCAGAGATTATCGCCGTCGAGCCAAGGTACCGATGTCGCGGCGCCGCCGTCGCTGCGAACCGTTCCCCGACGTGCCCGCGGCGATTCCGCGACGTGTTAACGTTGCAGAAATCGCCCGCGCGCGTATATTTACCTGGAAGTCACTCGGTCGCACGTACGCTACACCCACGCGCGCAACGCCGAGAACGATATTTACGCATTCCTGACCCCACGCTCCGGTCTATACATAGCCGCGTCCGCGGTTACAACTACGTGGACCACCTGATCCGGTTTTTCTGCCCACGGAGAGTGGAGTCCGCGCTACTGACGCGTTTCCTCGACGTCGTCGGCATTAAACAATACGCACAACCGTGATCTTCGTGTTCTTTTTTTTTTTCCTTTATTCTTCTCGCTTTTTTTCGTCGCGGTCGACTAAGAGGAGGGACCACGGTGACTGCGACGCGGATAGTCGTCTCGCACGTACGTTGATCTACGACGCAGTCGAATGGCTAAATGGAAATGCCTTGTATTTGATCCGATGTCGCATTATCGTCGTCGCGGCCGATAAAATCGCGTTGAGGCGTAATGTGATAAAAATAACGAGTCGCAGTCGCGAAGAGACAGTTATTAAAAGTCGCCAGGCTTTGCAATGTAACTTCCAGGTAGCGGCGATTTGGAGTTATTTGTCTCACGGGCCGATTAAAATCTCGTTCTTTCGACCTTTCAGTGGCGGAACACCAAAGGGCATTGGTCGAGGAGCAACTAATCAGGAAGGAAAAGCTTGCCAAGGAGCTGAGGAACGAGAAGGGACGACTGGAAGTGATGAGGAAGGAACTGCAGGCGCTCGCCAGACCGCAGGATCCTTCGGTATCTCAAGTATGTGCAATAAAATTATATCTCGCTCTCTTTTTTTACGTCCACATGCAGCACGAACTTTCAAAAGACGTCTTACATATATTTAGAAACAGTAAGACGGTATTTTATAATTCTTTAATAAACCGTCTTTTATAATTCTTAAGGCTCCTGGCCCCTCGCATTGTCTATCTCTTTTCAATGACGTCAGAAGCGAGAAAATGTATGCTAAAAGTTCTTACGAAATATGTTGAAATAAAACTATATATCCATAAAGTAACACTTGCAATCGATTGAGCAAATTTATAAGATATTCCGTGCACTCCCCTTTTGCTCTAATAGTCAAATTATAATAATTTATTGTGAATTAATCTGAATGCGAAGAAATAGGTTAAGAAGAGGAAGTGTATGTCACGTTAATTTACGACAAATTATTGATTATTAAAGCAAAAGAGGACTGTTTCACGGAATATTTCATAGATTTATTGAATCGATTGCAAGTGTCATTTTATAGATATATCTTTTTATTTCAACGTATTTCGCAAGAATTTTTAATATGCATTTTCTCGCTTCTGACTTCATTAAAAAGAGAGACAATGCGAGGGGCCAGCCCAAGGATTCTGTAACTCGTTATTGGAGTTAACGACAGTTTTGTTATCGTTGCGCAGCTTTTGTATATCGTAGAAAAGCTGCGCAACGATAACGAAATTGTCCTGTAGAATCCTAGGAGCCTTAATTTAGTCCGGTGTAAGTCTACCCTACGACGTTTGATTATCTCAAAGACATCTTTGAGGAAATGGATAAGAAGGACGAACGTCTGGCGTCTCAGTGTCTCCAAGATCTGTCTTAACGTACTGGCCTTTTTCAGGAGCTGAAGAGAAAGCTGAAGAGCGAGATATACCAGCTGCAGATCGAGTGCGACCGACTCGCCGATGAGGTAGATCAATGGTCGGACACACGAGGTACTTCCAGTCTATCCTATCGTTCTGTCGCGTGTGTGTCGAGAAGAAGAAAATTGTTTGTAACTTCCTAATGAATAGGTGCACTTGCAGTACCATTAGGCGAAACCAACGAGGAGTTCTACCAAGGCATTTATACCGGTCAGCCGTTGCCGACGAGAGTCCCAGCGAGCTCGAACCCACCGCCCTTGCCGAATCGACCGCCGGCGTGGCTGCCAGAGCCGCACCCGACGATGATCGCGCACCAAGACAACGACCGGGAGGAACGGGACGGGCCGTCGTGGGTCTGCACCATGTGCACCTTCGACAACCATCCGCTGATGAACAAGTGCGAGGAGTGCGACATGCCGAGGTTGTTGGACAACGGCAGTACAGGTATGCAACGACGCATGGCGCCGCTGCCGTCATCATGGGTGAAAAACGTGACGACTGCGTCGTCATCGTTGGCGGCCACTAATGCGAGTGCGAATTGGGGATCCTTTCCACCAGAAGAGTAACCCCGTCGTCGTTTAACAGCATGTTTTGTGATGTATCCTACAGGGTGCTTTGTGTGAATATCCGTCGCACGACCGGATGGAACGCGATGCAATTTGCAGTTATCGATCGCAACACACGATCCCACGATTGGCACGGAAGTGGTATTTTGAATCCCCTGTAGTTTTAAGAGACTTTAACCGAATGAGAGAACAAAAAGGAAAGTGTGTGTGATTGTGCGCGCGTGTTTGTGATTGTTATAACCAAGTTGTAAGAGTTATATTTAACGACAGTTGATTATCATTTTAGCATAATAAAGGAGAACTTGCAGCTTTGCCCTTACCTTGTTAAAAATGCGTGTTTGTTGATTTTGATATCGCATAATAAATTAACAATCTCGCACTTACATGGATTCGCATATGATACTTCTAATATGTTAACTTCCAAGCTACGTTGCGACGTAAACAGAACTTTCGTTGCAAGCATTGTCCTGACTCTAAAATTCGAGGTAAGAAAAATGTATTTTTCGTTTGACAAATTACGAAATAAGTGTAGAATCGCGTGAAATCTTGTGGGACGCTAATGTCGCTTTCTGCAATTTGCAGGGGAGACGCAGGATATTCACATACGGGTCACGCATCATCACAATTTCTCGCCAAGGCGTGAGTATACACCTCGATCGCGACATCCAATCGAATGCACTCGTGTTTCGCAAACGTGAATAATCAAAACTTTCGCCGAAAATAATTGCGACGTGTTATTCTTTTCAGACACAATACACAGTTGGGTGGTATGATGTGAGCTGAATTAGAAACTCAAAGAGAGGACTGTGTGAGTGTACATAAGTTTATTTAAATTAAACAAATTGTATATATATATCTATATATATCTATATATATAGGAGCTGAGCGACTGTAATAGAGAATGTATGATTAATATAATTATTTATTTAATTTTTTATTTGCGATGGAGCGCACGTCGCGTTGTTAGAGTCGTTATAGTTGTTAGCGACCTTGCATTGCTCCCTATTTACATATCCGCACTAAATGACTAATTCGGTTGAAATTGACAATTATATATTTGTCTCAGCTTAAAAAGAAATCTGTACACGTTTAAATTCTCGCTGTAATTCATACGCGTATCGTAAAATGGTATACGCATCGTCGGTGATGCATAGAAGATACATTTCGAACGTATAACAAAACTGCAATAAAACTTATCTCTCTAGATCCATATTTGTACAAAATTATCGTAAAATACAAGATATTTGTAATAATTGCAACGATTGTTCTCCCATTATATAGCCGTACCCCTCTCTAGATTCAGCTTAGTCTCACGCGTGTACTCGCCATAGAATCTCTCCAGTTTCTGATTGAACTTGGCGTTACGTTCATTGATGTAATCGATGTCCGCGTCATCGTTGTGCATTCTGCGTCTGCTATACTTTTCTCTCTTTGCGATCCTGAGGAAGGAAGACAAGTTGAATGGAAGTTATCGAAAATAGCGCAATTTTCGCCTGCTAAGTCATTAAGAATTACTCACTGTTTCTCCAAATTCCCGACCATTTTGTCGATTGCCTCCTTCTTGTCTTCGTGTAAGCCATGCAATATAGTGTTGCGGTCTCCATAAAAAGCAGGTCCTAATTTCTCTTTGGATTCTTCGTACGCCTCCATATTCGGCTTAATGTTCTTTACTAGCCTGTTATATGAACGTATTGCTGCTTGCTCGTAGTCGGAGAAACCTGGGTCAGGATTCTGTTTGTTTCTCTTCTTCCTAGCTATTCGTTCAGCTTCTGTGGCATCCACTTGTAACAATTTCTTCCGTTCGTAATCTTCTCCCTGCAGAATGTATAACACAAGATATAAATTACATATATACAGTGAATACAAAAAGTACACCAGTTTTGAAAAAAAACCTTATTTGTAGAAAATAAATTTTAACAATTTATTAACATTAATTTTGAGAAATATATCACCTATTATGTTAATAAATTATTAAATAAAGCTCATTTTCTACAAATAAAGCTCATTTTCTACAAATAAAGCCTTCTTCAAGACAATCTCCTATGTACAAATACTTTTTACACTCACACTATATATATATATATATATATATATATATATATATATATATATATATATATATATATATATAAACAAGTAATAATTATGTATATGGAAAAGTATAAAGATTTTTTACAGTTGTGACATTGATACCTTTGCTTCTGCTTCTTTCCGAGAAGCTTCGTCTTGCATTATCCATTCTGCCTTTCTTTTGCGAGACTCCCAATTAGCAGGTAACTTGTTCCTCTTATCCTCCTCCACGACTTCCTTATGATTCTCCATTCTGGCTTGGTTCTGTAAAAATAATATGCTATACATGAGTCGCGAAGGTAAATTTGAGTAAAGTAAAAGGTCTTAGTAATTTGGGAAACCAGGATATTCAGACATTTTTAGACAGAAAAATAAAGAATATTATGTATCTAGAAATCTTTTTGTAATGAAACGGCATGATCATACTGGTTAAATAACTCTAGAGATTGAATTCTAAGGTTAAATAACTCAGAGATTGAATTCTAAGTGAAACTTCTCAAAAAGGTTAGTTTTGGTTAACATGTAAACTTACCCTTTTAACGTGAAGATCTTTGAGCCTTTTCATTCTTTCCGCGTGTTTTATCGTCGCAGGATCTGCGGATGATGCACTCGATGTGGTTTCATCCATTTTCAAAATAAGCAAAATATAATTCTCAAGAAAATTCGTAAACACACTATTCTCTTTAGCTGACCTGACTCAACTAGTGCAGTCTGGTGCAATAAATAAGGCTGAGTTCCCACTTAGCGCGTCACGCGTCGCATCGTCCGAGTTAAGCCGATCAAATCGTCCCATTTTATTCGGTGTAAAGTACGTAATAAAATGGGACGATTTGATTGGCTTAACACGGAGACGCGACGCGTGACGCGCTAAGTGGGAACGCACCCTAAGTCCCGAGCCATAATAGGTGTAGTAAGCTTTAAGCCTTAAGAAATTGACCAATCACAGTTGATTATTCTCTTCAAATTTGACAGTTTGTCTGTTCCTTCGCTCTGTACTGCTGCACTGGTGCAATAAGTTGGAGTGAGACAAATATATATTTGTCTCACTCTAACTTATTGCAGCAGTGCAGAGCAAAAGAACAGATTTAGTGATTGGTCAATTTCTTAAGGCTTGAAGCTTACTACACCTATTGTAGATAGGAACTACTAAAAGGTTGGAACAATCAGCCTTCATTAAAGCCCATGTCACACTACGGATTGGAAATGGAGGATTGCGGATTGAAGACTAAATTTCGACGAATCAATGCACTTTGGTCTTGACCTGCTTGACTCCAATTGGTCAAGTTCCAATCTTCAATCCGCAATCCTTAGTGTAACACGGGCTTTAGGCGATTTTTGGTGATCGTTTGGTACCTGGTTGTCATTGGCCTAATTTACATTAAACATTTAATATATGTACTAAATATCTGTCGATGGATCCATCGATGATTTAAAAAACTCGCCCATATCAAGGCTGCGTTCGGAAACGTCACTCGAGTACTCTCCCTTTCTTTTTATCTCATTCTTGTATTTCGTTCACTCAAACGGCTATCGTCTAGTAGTGTGCACATAGTGTGTGTTTCCGAACGCAGCCTTAATGTTTGATGTAAACTTGCCCAGTAACAACCTGGTACATGTACCAAACGATCGCCAAAAATCGCCTATTGTCGCAACAGACGTTGCGATTTGTGTCGCGCGTCTGCGTCTTGTGTAGATGAACTTTTAAGTTTGATCTACAATGTGTTATTTGCTTCTTGTTTTTTTTTTTCTTTATCTCTTTCTGACTCACACCTTAAGCCTTAAACTAAAAAAAGACAGAGAACAAGAAACAGAAAGCAAAGAGCGCCTTGTAGATTAGGTTTAAGTTTAATGCAGTCCCAGTGTATCATAAAAGAACAAACCTATTGACTGCAGTTAAGTTAGGTCACGGACCAAGATAGGTTAAGTTAGGTTAATCACGTCAAACGTTGACAAGCCGGAGACATGCTTCCTCGAGTTTGACGTGGAGCTGCTGTTTTGCGAATCACAGCACGGTCGACAACATACGGACGAGACAAATGAGGAACGGCAATAAAGAGACAATGTCGTATCTGCGCGACTGGCGACAGGCGTTGCGGGCACCGCACGTCTATCGAGTTGCGAACAGCACGTTCCGCGTGCAGAGTCAGTGTATGCTGCTGCTTCTCCTCATTGTGAGTGTGCCGCTTTTCTTCCTCGCGTATCCATTGTTACATACTGTTATATGCTCGCCACCAAACACGTCGACCATCACGCAGTGTCGTTATTACAAGTACAACAAAACTTATCCTACTTCGACACCTATCAGAACTTCCATGGGCATCACCTACAGGATAGCAATAGTGAGCGACCTCGATCACGACTCCAAGCTCCCAGATAAGAAGGATACATGGCATAGTCTCATGAAAACAGGCAGTCTCTATTGGAATCCTAACACGAATTTTCTCTCTGTTATCTGGGACGACAGAACTATTACGTTATCTTCGTCGCTGTCTATGAAAGGACGTGGTATGGAACTGTCGGAGTTGGTGACGTTTGACGGTCGTTTACTATCCTTCGACGATCGCACAGGAATGATATACTTCCTTGAAGGTGATCAAGCATATCCATGGGTGATCTTAATGGATGGAAATGGTAGAAATCATAAAGGTAAATCGCATAGTGACTGTTTGACGATATTCAGATAGAAATGCTGAGCATGCAAATATTTCATTTGTAAATTTGTTTTAAATATTTAATGTGCATTTTGTGATATACAGGTTTTAACAAATACTTATTCATCAAGCCATCATTTTAATCAAGTTTTTCATTAATTATTACAATAATTCTGCATTGTGTTTTCTTCTTGATAAAATAAGCAGCAATTTTTATTTATTAAATGATATATTTTATATACTGATAACATTTTTATATGATGATAAAATAGAAATAGTGGACATAGCATGCAAATATTTAATATATATTTTGTGATACTATTGTAATAGCATGTTTAAAATGTGTAGATTTTAACAAATACTTTTTTATCATTCCATTATTCTAGTCTAGATATTTATTATTTATTAATACAATAATTTTGGATTAATTGCTTTCTTTTTTTGACAAAATAAGTAGCAAATTTATTTATCAATTTTTTACATACTGTTAAATTCTTATGAATATAGATAGAAATGTTGAATATAACATACAAACATTTAATATCTGCTTTGTAATACTATTGCAACAGCACTATGTATTTAAAATCTACTGATTTTAGTAAAAATCTATTTATTATGTACCATAATTCTAATCTAGATATTTACTATTTCTTAATACAATAATTCTGGATTAATTGCTTTCTGTTTGTAACAAAATAAGCAGTAACTTTTATTTATTAGATAACATACTATACTGATAAAATTCTTGCTGCATGTTAACACATCTTTGAGTACTTGTTCTAGTTACTAAGCAGACAAAATCTGTTTGGGTATTGTTGCTTTTGTCATTATTATTTTGGAATGCTTTATCTTTCATTCAAGTTTAATTTATATATTTGTAGGATTTAAATCTGAGTGGGCAACCATCAAAGATGAGCAATTGTATGTTGGCAGTATGGGAAAAGAATGGACTACACCATCTGGAGAATTTGAGCACAACAATCCATTGTGGGTAAAAGTGGTATCGCCACGTGGGGAGACACACTCTCTTAATTGGATTTCTTATTACAAACGTTTAAGGCAAGCGATTAACATCGAGTATCCAGGTATGTTAGCTAATTCTACTGTAATCATATTCTAATTTAATCATATTTGCACTTTACGTAGGTTATATGATACATGAATGTGGAGTTTGGAGTGACATACACAAGAGTTGGTTCTTCTTGCCCAGAAGATGCTCCCATGAACGTTACAACGAGACCAGAGACGAGATAATGAGTTGTAACGTCATGTTAACTGCAGATGAAAATTTTGTTGATATTAAAGTATGTGGATTCATGGTTGCGAGTAATTAATGTTTTTAATTAATAATCGTGTTTAATTGGCGCTTAGAGCAAATTCAATTAAAGAGCCTTTAATTAAATTAAAGTTTAATTAATGTTTAATTAAGTTTTCTAAGTTCAATTGTTAGTTAAATTATTTGTGATTCCCTTCACTCATTAATCGTTAATTGAATGCTTTTTAATTGAATGGTTTCTAATTAAATTCAATGAAAAAAAAAAAAATTAATCGCCAATTGAACAAGCTTCAATTCAATTTGTTCAAATCAATCAATTAGTTGAATTAAAACATATTTGAACTATATTCAAATCAATTGTTATATTGAGAATAATTTAAATGATATATTCACTACTCTGTGCGAATTAGTGTAACAATAACAAGTAAATGCAGTGACAAATTTCTTAATTAAAAAGGAACAAAGAGAGAAAGAAAAATAGAATTTTTGAAATTTGTTATAGGTGACTTATGTCGGAGATTTAATTCCAATCAGAGGTTTCTCCAGTTTTAAGTTCCTTCCTGGTTCACAGGATTCTATTATAATAGCATTAAAAACTGAAGAATACCAAGGGCGGACCGCTACTTACATTATGGCTTTTACAACGAAGGGAACTGTGATAATGCCCGAAATTAAAGTAATGGATAAGAAATTCGAAGGACTGGAATTTATATGACATTCCGCATAAAAATAGTCGCCAATTGTTTAACAAACTTGTAAATAGATGTACAAATTTTGCATAGACTTAAGTTTTTATGAACCTGACCTTTAGAAAATTTATCAGTGTAAATAACTTGAAGTCGTTTGAACGGCAAGCACTTCTGCATTTGAAAAGTACCGGGATACAAATTTATTGTCACTAATATTAAAGCAGAAACAACGAATTCGTTCGTTATGTAAATGTATGCTGAACGACAATTGTAAATATATACGCTGTATATATACATATACGTTATTGCTCTGTTCTGTTTTCGGTAATGTTCGTAACGTAAATACTAATAGATGAGATACATTATATCGTTATATCCAATTATTACCTTGACAACATACTATTATATTATAGTTTGGAACAAGTATTTGAAATGTGTTAAAGTTCAAATATCATAAAAGAAGATTCAAATTTTTTTTGGCATTTTAATTCGTGTTTAAGGGGATGCTTGAAAACTTTACCGATGAAATATTGACTTTTTTTTGCAAATTTTACGTCGTATTAGTTGTACAATCGGCCTAGAAAAGATTGTTCGCTTTTCTTTGTGAATTTGGGAACTTAAAAAGATTCCTAGTTTTATTCTTCTTAAACAAATGTCTTATCCAATGGGAGAATGCATTTTCTAATAGAAGAACTCTTATTGGAGAAGATGGATAAGTTCCGAAACTAAAAGGAAAAAAGAAAATACTGAATAACAAATCTTTCCAATTGTATAAGAAATATGAAAAGGATATAATTGTGTTAATGATGGTCGCTTCTATGTTATCAATATTTTTCTAGTCTGTCATTCACTTCGGCGTTTTCTTAAGATCTTAACTTATTGTCAATCGCGCGAGCTACGCCTTAATTGGTTTTGAATATCATACTTTTTTGTGTGTTTTGCACAAACATATTGATTCAAATTCTAATATAGGGACCGATATAAGGATATCTGAGAGTAAAACTGGTTAGTTCTTTATTTAAAACATGAGGACAAGAATACATATCGATGCGGGCTCATGTATGGCTCAGATATCGTTCATGTCATGATGCCAGAAAAATGCTTCATTTAATAATAATAATCAACATTACGTCAAGAACTTGCAAACATAATTTGTACATTATTTGTATGCTGTCATCTGATGTTCATGTCATGAAATCACGTAATGAACTTTAATAAAGTTAGAATTGAAGTCACCCCAGATAGCACAGAGAGTTCAAAAAGAATTTACCCAGCAAACACAATGTTACATGTAACGTACATGTTAGTTGTAATTTCCCACTCAACAATATAACTGTTATATAACATGCGTGTTATGTAACAGTTATATTGTTGAGTAGGAAATTACAACTATCATGTACGTTACATGTAACATTGTGTTTGCTGGGTAGTCGTCATCAATTCTGAGTTTATTTAGATGCAAAAAGAATTCTTTTCACTGAACTAAACCCTGAAGAATTCTTTTTGCATCTGAAAATGAAACTTAGAATTGGTGACATACGACTGAACTCTTTTTGAATTCTCTGTGCTATCTGGTATGAAGACTATAGTATGAAGTCACATTGGGTCGCGTTTACGATAAGTTGTCGGATTAGAAATCCGACTGAACAGTGGTACTCAATCGACTAATTTCAAAAAATTCCCTAGCTTAATCAGATTTTAGTAAAAGCTGTTTCAGCTAATCGGATTAGCTTCATAGCGTGAGGTGATACTTTTTCCTCAAGAGAAATAAAAAGATAAAAGTCGGTAGGTACGTAATTATTATTCTTTGATTAGCGCTTATTATTTTCCTTATATATCAATATATGAATAAATGATCTGTTACACTTTTACTGGTATTAAATTAATGAAAAGAAGTATTAATAATCTCACGTGTAGTAAACTATAATAATATTGGATTTATGTTATATTTCGTATGTAAAAAAATAAGTACAGTATAAAATCTGTCAAATTAACATTTCAAACATACTAATTTTAAAATATATTAAGGACATTTATGCATTTATATATAGATACATATAAATATGTGTGCTTGTATATGTGTATGTTCATATGTGTAATCTATAATTATTTACACACTTATATTTTTATATAAAAAGAATATTTATATTTTTATAGATTGTGTATATATATATGTGTAACAGATCATTTATTCATATATTGATATATAAGGAAAACGATAAGCGCTAATCATTAGAATAATAATTACGTACCTACCGACTTTTATCTTTTTATTTCTCTTGAGGACAAAGTATCACGTCACGTCACTTTGAAGCTAATCCGATTACTGCTGAGACAGTTTTTACTAAAATCTGATTAAGCTAGAGAATTTTTTGAAATGGCTCGATTGAGTACCACTGTTCAGTCAGATTTCCAATCCGACAACTTATCGTAAACACCCATTGTGATGAAACATGATCATCACGCATTTCTATTTAGGTCATATTCAACTGCGTTTTTCGAGTGCAACCAGAAATATTTCGCTGAGCGCGATATATTCAAAAAGAAATGAATTCAAAAAGAATTCAATCGTATGTCAATTCTGAGTTCATTTTTAGATGCAAAAAGAATTCTTTTCACTGAACTGAATTTTGAAGAATTCTCTTTGCATCTGAAAATGCAATTTTGAATTCTCTGTGCTATTTGAGTTAATGTTGTTTGTTACGGTTATCGTTCGAAAACTGAAACAAGAGCTTTACGCGCGCATTTCCTTCCTCCAGTGATACTCTCGGTAACATCATGCGCACTCAGGGTCACGATACTTCTAGGCCAAAATCAATAATACATGTATATACGACGATCAGGGGAAGTGGTGGTAGCAGCACGACCGACTGTAGTCGGCAAGGTTTAGTCAACCCGATGCACCGCGAGGACACGCGCGTGTCGTGCCACGATCAGGGTGCATCCGTGCAAGGTTTGCTCATAGTCTTCTTCGAGGAGTGGTATTATCGATAATATGTGTCCGTAAAAGTGGCATCCTTCGTTGAACGTGAAACTTTCACAAGAAACGAGAACGACATTGCGATTTCGTAGTGCATTTAGCTGGTCAAATTCGTAATTTATATCTGCACTTCGTATTCGAATATCGGAAGGACTCTGGCGGAAGCTGTTCTCATTTCAGCGGGCATTCAGCGGGTAGAGGATACTTCAACGAAGGACATCGGTTTTCCTCGTCGTTCTGCATACGTATTGCACAAAGAAACAACTCCAACAATATTTCACGCACAAATAGAGCGATTACATATGTACCGCGCAAAGTTACATAATGACCGATATTGAGTCCGCCCGGTGAATCGACCATCTGGCGAATCAGCCTGATTGCGGCTGCCGGTTGGGAGGATCGTGCAATTCCGGAAATCCTCACCACCAAGTGATATTTGATCCTCGAGTATGGAGTACTCGTTAAAAATAACATTCCCCGCTGTGCGATCGGCGGGAGAAAGAGATAACGCGGTAACCGCGAGAATAATGTCTCGTTACATCTTTGACAGTTGTGATAACGCGGCAGCGACGCCGCTGGCGCACTCGTGACGTAAATGCACGAGTGATTCTATGAAGTGTGCTTTGCCGTCTACCGTCGAATTTAACCTTTGCAAGACGGGCGAACAAACCGTTCCAAATAGATCACAACAGTGATCGTCAGTACGTTCGCGCGAGCAAATGACCTTTCCATCGATGATTGTGCGTGCTAGCTCTCCACTTGACGAGCACGTGAGTGATCGAGGGATTCGAGGAGTGTCGCTTTATTGTCCAGATATTTTTTACAAAGCCCTTCCTCGACGATAATGGCAACGGGGCAAGGCGCGACCAAGGATTGGAACATCGCCAGGACTGGCATCTCCTTACTGTTGAACAATAAAACCGAGGAAGCCGAGGCTCTGTTTACCGGTCATCCTCACAGCTTCCACGTCAAAGCCGGCAGTTGCTTTGTTCTCTTCATGGTACGTAATCGCGTGATACGGAGCATATATTGATTCTAGTGTGCTCTAACGAAGTATACTTAAAGTATCCAAGGCCGCGGGACGATGTTGTTGCCCAATCGGTTTTAATAATAAGTGTAACACATGCATCTAGAAAATATAAAATCGATACCGCGATGTCCCGCTCTGTTCCATTGAGACCAATCGAATAAAAATGGTCATGTGTCAATCATGTCGATTGACACATGTACGATTCGCGAAGCGAGCAAGCGTTTAGTCTCATGATAGACGCGAGCAATAAATCTTTAATTTTTAAATGATGACGATATCTAACGTGATTTAATGAATTATGCAGAATGCCCTGATGACCTACGAGCATGACAAGCTTCAGCAAGCCATGTTATTGCTTAAGGACATGGAGCGGGAATGCGCGGGCGATATCGGCTGGCTGAAGTCCGTGAAAAGTAAGGTGTTCAAGGCGGAAGAAACCGGCGTAAGTTTCTAGATATTGGCGCAATTCCGTTCGTTTCGGGTCTTTTTCAGGAGATGATGATAAATCCTAAAACTCTGGAAATTCTAGTCAACTTAAAATTTATCATATGTGTGCACACATGACACCAGAAATGGAATTCAAAGTTGCGCCAGTTTTGAAGATTAACTCTTTACACTCCAACACTCGAAAAACATTGCTGCGAGGACGTTTTTCAAATTTTCAAATCCAAATCTAAGTCTATCTAAATCTAAATTAGATCTAAATCCGATTTCTAGTTTTAAGGCTGCAGTAGCTAACCCAGATAGTACCGATTAAAATTAATTAAAAAAGAATTCAGTCGTATGTCACCAATTCTCAGTTCATTTTCAGATGC